TGACACTGTCTAACCATCTCATCCTTTGCCGTCCCCGTCTTCTTTGACCTTCAATCTTTCCCAGCATCAGGGTCTTCTCCAGTGAGTGCTCCCTTCTCATTTGGTGGCCAAAGTATTTGAGCTTCAGTTTCATTATCTGGCCTTCCAGGGAACAGTCAGGGTTGATTTCTTTGAGGATTGACTGATTTGTTCTTCTTGCAGTCCAAGGGACTCTCAAGAGTCTTCTCCAGCACCATAGTTCAAAAGAATCTATTCTTCGGCGCTCGGCCTTCCTTATAGTCCAGCTCTCGCAGCCATACATGACTACTGGGAATACCATTGCTTTGACCATGCGGACTTTTGTTGGCAGGGTGATGTCTCTACTTTTTATCATGCTGTTTAGGTTCGCCATCGCTTTCCTCCCAAGGAGCAGGCGTCTTTTAATTTCATGGCTGCAGTCACAGTCTGCGGTGATCTGGGATCCCAGGAACGTGAAGTCTGTCACTACTTCCACGACTTCCCCTTCTATTTGCCAAGGAGTGATGGGGCCGGATGCCATGATCTTAGTTTTTTTGATGTTGAGCTTCAAGCCCACTTTTGCGCTCTCCTCTTTTACTCTGAGCAAGAGGCTCTTTAGATCCTTTTCACTTTCAGCCATTAGAGTGGTATCATCTGCATATCTGAGGTTGTTGATCTTTTCCCCAGCAATCTTAATTCCCGCTTGTGATTCATCCAGGCCAGCATTTCGCATGATGTACTCTGCATATATATTAAATAAGCAAGGTGACAGTATACATCCTTGTCGTACTCCTTTTCCTATGCTGAACCAATCAGTTGTTCCGTATCCGGTTCTAACTGTCGCTTCTTGGCCCTTATACAGGTTTCTCAAGAGACATGTGAGGTGGTCTGGTACTCCCATCTCTTTAAGGACCTGCCATAGTTTGTTGTGATCCACACAGTCAAAGGCTTTAGCATAGTCAATGAAGCAGAAGTAGATATTTTTCTGGTACTCTCTTGCTTTCTCCATAATCCAGCGAATGTTGGCAATATGATCTCTCGTTCCTCTACCTCTTCGAAACCCAGCTTGTACTTCTGGTAGTTCTCTATCCACGTACTGTTGAAGCCTAGCTTGTAGGATCTTGAGCATGACCTTGCTAGCGTGTGATATGAGTGCAATTGTGCGATAGTTTGAACATTCCTTGGCGTTGCCCTTCTTTGGGATTGGAATGTATACTGATCTTTTCCAATCCTGTGGCCACTGTTGCGTTTTCCAAATTTGCTGGCAAATGGAGTGCAGCACTTTAACAGCATCATCTTCTAAGACTTTGAATAGCTCAGCTGGAATACCATCACCTCCACTAGCTTTGTTGTTAGCAATGCTTTCTAAGGCCCATTTAACTTCACATTCCAGGATGTCTGGCTCAAGGTCAGTGATTATACCGTCGTGTTTGTCAAGGACATTGAGGTCTTTCTTGTATAGTTCTTCTGTGTATTCTTGCCATCTTTTCCTAATCTCTTCTGCTTCTGTTAGGTCCCTACCGTTTTTGTCCTTTATCATGGCCAGCTTTGCATGGAACGCTCCCTTGATTTCTCCAATTTTCTTGAAGAGATCTCTAGTCCTTCCCATTCTATTGTTTTCTTCTATTACTTTGCACTGTTCATTCAGGAAGGCCTCCTTATCTCTCCTTGCTGTTCTCTGGAAATCTGCGTTCAGTTGGGTAAATCTTTCCTTTTCGCCTTTGCCTTTCGCTTTCCTTCTTTCCTCTGCTATTTGTAAAGCCTCATCAGAAAGCCATTTTGCTTTCTTGCATTTCTTTTTCTTTGGTATGGTGGTGATTGCTGCCTCCTGTACGATGTCACGAACCTCTGTCCATAGTTCTTCAGGCACTCTATCTATCAAATCCAGACCCTTGAATCTATTCTTCACCTCTACTGTATATTCATCAGGGATGTGATCTAGGTCAAACCTGAATGGCCTCATGGTTTTCCCGATTTTCTTCAGTTTAAGTCTGAATTTTGCAATGAGTAGCTCATGATCTGAACCACAGTCAGCTCCAGGTCTTGTTTTTACTGACTGGATAGAGCTTCTCCATCTTTGACTGCAAATTATATAGTCAATCTGATTTCGGTGTTGCCCATCTGGTGATGTCCATGTGTAGAGTCGCCTCTTAGGTTGTTGGAAAAGGGTGTTCGCTATGACCAGTGTGTTCTCTTGACAAAACTCTGTTAACCTTTGCCCTGCTTCATTTTGCTTTCCAAGGCCAAACTTGTCTGTTATTCCAGTTACCTTTTCACTTCCTACTTTAGCATTCCAGTCCCCTATGATGATGAGGACATCATTTTTTGGTGTTAGTTCTAGGAGGTGTTGTAGGTCTTCATAGAACCGGTCTACTTCAGCCTCTTCTGCATCAGTGGTTGGGGCATAGACTTGGATTACTGTGATGTTGAATGGTTTGCCTTGGAATCGGACAGAAATCATTCTGTCATTTTTGAGATTGTATCCCAGTACTGCCTTTTGCACTCTCTTGTTGACTATAAAGGCCACACCATTTTTTCTACGAGATTCCTGGCCACAGTAGTAGATATAATGGTCTTCTGAGTTAAATTCGCCCATTCCTGTCCACTTTAGTTCACTGATTCCTAGGATATCGATGTTCAGTCTTGCCATCTCATTTTTGACCACGTCAAGCTTACCTTGATTCATAGATCTTACATTCCAGGTTCCTATGTAGTATTGTTCTTTGCAGCATTGGACTTTCCTT